ACCAAGAAACCATGAAGTCCAAGAAGATTTGTTGACTTCACAAAAGCAGGATGATCTAGAAAATTGCAAGATCTTGCAAAATAAATTTGATGTGAAGGCCTGAATTTCAGGCTTTGTATATGAACTTGGAAGAGACAACCTCTTTGAGATAATAAGGAAGAGCATTGGAAGTTTAGCGTCTTTCCACAGTTTGAAATATTAGCATTATCATAAATGTGCTAAGTTATATTTTCCATAAACTGCCTCACAAATCATGCCACGGATTCTTGTCCTTCGCAGCTACAATCGTGGAAATATTGAAATTGTAAAGCTCTCAGACCAATTCAGACTTCAACTAAGTCAGATTGGTTTATTGCTGTCAAGGGGACAAAGATGTAGCAGTTGTATAGTGGCATAATTGTTTGGAGAAAATGTAGAATCATGGATGTAAAGGAACTAACCTGTGCTGCACGTACATGTGCAGTGCCAGTTCCACTTGTTCTCTGCAAGTGATGTTATTCCATGTCTTATGAAATGGTGAAAAGTTCAGTAGCCGAGGAGTGGGAGTCAGTGTGTCCAGCAGAAATTCAGATTATGCTGCTACACCATGGTCCTCTGTGGAAAAGTGGGAGATATTTTTTGGCAGGAGCAGACATGGACATTGCCATCTCGCAGCTTAAAATTGTCCAGTTGCTTTTAAGGGACAATTAATCAACCTCTTTCCCCTTTTTTCCTCCTAGACAGCACTCAACGCCATTAACAATGATCATCTAATATGAAACCTGATTGATTGATTCCCGTTTGGAGTAACCCAGATGAGTTTCTCTCACCAAATGCAGGAAATTAATCTGTGTGTGTAAAATCCTCTCTGTAGGAAATGACTGACAGCCTAAAGGAATACAGCTGCAAAACATAAACATGGCAGTGCTTTTCACAAGAGTACTTTAAATAACTGTTGTTAATGTCCCTTCCAAGATGTCATTTAGAAAACCACAATCAATTACTATAGTGATAGCAATACTATATATAGCAATTGTACACAAGTGATAGAAATGCTGGAAACCAGCTATTCTTGACTAGGGATAGTAAGATTCTCCTTATTAACACATGTGGTATGACCACAAACACACCTGCATTTTTAAAGATTAATGATAAGTAGCATTTCAATCCTGCCCTGTATTAATAAGCAAGGTCAGTCGTTGACATCTCCTGGTAAATCGCTTCCCATTTTAAAACCCCATCTCTTTTCTGGGCCAAAATACTCCACATAGGCACCATCTGACTCAAAGGTAGAGAGAGAACAGTTGGACAAGCAAGGACAATGAGGGAAAGGCTGGGACACGGGCACTGTGGGAGACTCGACACGAGCCCTGGCCGAGCCCCTAGAAGTAGTGGGTGAGTTGGCAGCAGCAGGTCAAGGGATCTTGAGGCTGCTCCAGCACAGGAGGTGAGCTGGGAGGCGAACAGCCGGGGCTATGGGACCCTGTGCATTCTGTAAGGCAGGAGCTGGAATCAGATCATATAGAAATAAGGATGGCCCGGAAAGAGGAGCAGCCAGCGTGGAAGAGCAGGTGAAAGGAGCCACAAAGCCTACAGTCAACTAATTATAACTGACTAGTTATAATGCCAGTGTGTATCCTCATGAAGTGGGTAAGGGATGACAAGAGGCACATACTTAAGCTGTAGAAGAAACCTTCATCCCTTAAAAACTGAAATGACTTTTCAGCATTTAAATATACTTTCTTAATATTGGCTTAATACCATTCTTGTATGTAGTATTTATGTTGTTTGAATTGCTAAGGGCTCATTTCCTATAAGGAGCTTGAGAATTAAAACTGAATTAATTCCCCAGTGATGGGTTTTGACCATAAACCGATGGCCTTGCATGATCTGAGGTACCTGTAGACTGGTGTTCTGCAAGGGTGATGTTTTGTTTATATTTTTCCCTGTCTTCAATTATTGCAGTGATTTTCCAAGGAAAAAAATGCTGGCCCCACTGAGCAGTGTGCAGATTTAAACAACCAAACTCCCCCATTTCATCAGCAGTATCCTTTGTCCTAAAAGAAACCTGGTGCTTGGTCTGATTAAGTTTGTTTAAAGACAGGTTAATTAAGGAAAGAAAGAATTTATTTTTTGGAGTATCCTTGTGGTACAGAGAACAGGTAGAGCTTAGAAAGGATTTCCCTTGGGATGCATCAGTGGGAAAGGCTACCCTGGGGAAGAACCACAGCAATTCAGCTCCTACTGGATTAAAGATGCATATAGACAGTGCTCAGCAGAGAAAATGGTGGGGAACACACAGCATGGGGAGATGTGCCAGGACCATGAAACTTCAGAGCCCCTAGAGAAGTGAAGGACAGGAAAAAGAAATGCTGCTTACATCAAGAAGCATCACGAGCTCTCCTGTGGGTGGACTGGCTCAGTAAGTGGTTGTGGAAGACATGAGAATCCCATGGTGTCTTCAGGTGTCTTTGGACCAGTGTGCTTGTGGATGGGTTACACTCGTTAAGTGATAATGCTGAGGAAAGTTTATTAATTACAACTGTTTCTAGTCTGTTCTCCAGGAGTTCAGGGAGGTAGAGAAAACCCTTATCCTCTGGTCAAAACATCAGACATAGTAAGGGTGCAAACTAAACAAATCAGGATCTGGCTTGACAGAGAAGACTCCCATGAACAATTTATGAAAATGTTTGAGCTGAAGTTTTGACTTTAGGCCTAAACAGTCAAATTGCCATTTCCAGTCCTGAAGACTGATGGGTGGATTTCCGTCTGACTTCTCCAGTCATTTTTTAATAAGCAGGCTTGATATTTTCTCCGAGGCTATTCATATTTTAAAGCAGTTTAAAGCAGTTTCTTAAGAGTGGATTCTGCCTTAGGGGAAGGTGGTTCTGCTGTTCCTTGGGCAGAATTTAAAACTCACATTTTGCTAATCCAGAGTCTATAAAAATACAAATCAGCTTTCCTAGAGCCTATCCACAAATAGCAGTTTTTTCTAAAGTTTCTATTTTTGATTGTTCCTCATTCAGCTTATTCTGAAGATGGCACTCCAACTTCTGAATAAGAACATATGTACACAGAGCTAAGCAGTTGACTAGCTTTAAATTCATAATTTCTCATTCAATTTCTTAATTCCTTATTAGCTTCCACGTTCAAACTCTCTCTCAGAGCCTAATCCAAGTCCCACTGGTGTCAGTGAGAATGGGTTTTACCTTTCAAATTTAGCCATCTAAAAATCTGGCATGTATTCTAAATGCAACTGTGGAGGAGCCACTTGTAGTCAAAATAGAGACAATCAGCATTTCCAGGACATGATTCATAACATCTACCCTAAAGACTTGTCTTGAGAGGGGACGAGTGTATTTCTGGCAGCTGCTATCTTATTCCCCTGCCTGTTGAGGGAGCCTGTACAACCAGTGTAGAAGCCTCCTTACTCTCTGATAAAAGAAGCCAGGTGATGAAACTCCAAAGCAATTTAATTAGAGGTGAGATAAGAAAAGGATTTAATTCGTGCCTCCAAGGCATGGGGTTACAAGACGTGCACATGGCCTCTGCCTCAGGTGCTTACAATTTGTAACTCTGTTTGTCCAATCTGAGGTTTTCCCACCCTCTGGCTTTTGCCCTGGTCCACCCCCAGTCCACACCTGGGGAATTGAGGCTGGGGTCTTTTTGGGACCACCTACTTTGTCCCCCTAGTCTTCCTCGGAGCACAAAGGGCACACATTCACCAAGTTCTTGGCTGTATCTTGCAGTTTAGGCCAGAGTACAAGTGTTCTCTAAACAGAATAGGCCTACCTTGACAAGAAACTAAACATTTCTAATGGAATTCAGGGGATATTTGATAAGGGGAGCATGGAATGGGGTAATAGGGTTAAGAATCTGTGTAATTGCTATGCTAAGGGTAAGGGAAAGGGTAAAGGAGTACATGCTGCTGTTTCTAAAATCTACTTCTCCTGTATAACTACTTATAAGACTTATAAAAATTAGAAATACCAAAAAACTAAAAGGACCTTAAGGCATCTCAGGGGAAGGAATCTTTCTGTTTATTTTCATGGGAAAAGATTCAGACTTTCAGTTTCCTACATCCTTTCTGCAAGGTAAATTACAAATGAGTAAGCAAAGCCCCAGAGCATATCCCAAGTTGCATCTCATGGACTGCTAAATGGCTTCAATCAGCATTTGGGATGTATGGAAAAGACGTCTGAACTCCTGAAACAGCATTAAACGTTGGGGTTTTTTTTAATTACTATTCATACCTTGCATCACACTGGGCTCCTTGACAGGGAGCACAATTAGATAGAAATCTCAAAGCAATGGCAAAATCTTTTTGTCTGTCTTCTTTAAAGATGCTCACAGTGAGCTATGTGGAATGTCAGGAATAATTAGACAAAACTATATAAGCTCCTAGCAACACTGATGTGATGTGTAAAACTAAGCATTCTCCATAAAGTTTTAAACATTGTTTGAAACCTGCATGATAAAGGTAACCTGAGAAATTTTTAAGCACAGTTTCAAATATATTAATACAGACATGGATATGAAAAAGCAGAATGGAAAACTGTGAAATGCCGGCATGCCTCTGCTGCTCGTTTTCAAAGGTGATACATAGAAGTAATTGATGACTCTCATACAGCAGTTGAAATGAAAAGGCAAATTTCCTCAGCTCTTCATCTACTGGAATGTATTTTAACGAGCAGGAAAAAGACTAGCTCCTGGTATCAGTAATTCACAAAGATTACAGACATGTTGATGAGAAGGGACCTCCCACTTTAAGTAAAATCTCCAAAACCAAAGAAGGAATAACCATTTCATATCATCAGGAAATCTGGCCCGAAGTGCCCTTTGGAGAAGGAAAAAAGAGAACCATGAATGCAGAGAAAAGGGGGGAGAAAAGGCAAGTGAAAAGAGAAGAAGAAAAACCACACTAACATTTTATTTGAGATAGTAATGTTAGAAATGTAGAACTCTGTACCAAAAGGTGGGATTATCCTCGATTGACTAATAGATGTGATTTTATCTTCTAGGAAAACAATGAATAGGAGGAAACCTGGAAGCTTTTTGCTGCTTTGTTGAATATGGGATTATAAAAAAAAATTGCACCTGGAACATCTCTCTAAATGGATGACTTCTGAACCTGCAACCCTTCATTACCTGAAGCAGCACCTTCTTGCATCCTGGAGGAGAAAATGAATTTCACAAATTGCACCACTGAAGCCAGTGGGGCTGCAAAGCCAAAAACAGTAACTGAAAAGATGCTTGTTACCCTGACCTTGGCCACAATCACAACCTTGACTATGCTGCTGAATTCTGCTGTAATTGCAGCAATCTCCACAACCAAGAAGCTCCACCAGCCGGCAAATTATCTCATATGTTCACTAGCTGTGACAGATCTCCTTGTTGCTGTTCTCGTCATGCCCTTGAGCATCACTTACATAATGATAGATAAATGGACTTTGGGATACTTCATCTGTGAGATCTGGCTTAGCGTCGACATGACCTGTTGCACATGTTCAATCCTTCATCTGTGTGTCATTGCATTGGACAGGTACTGGGCAATCACAGACGCTATCGAATACGCCAGGAAAAGAACGGCAAAGAGGGCTGGGCTGATGATAGTCACCGTGTGGGCTATCTCCATTTTCATATCAATGCCCCCTTTGTTTTGGAGAAATCACCACAGCATCAATATTCCCAGCGAGTGTCGCATTCAGCACGATCATGTAATCTACACTATTTATTCCACATTTGGGGCATTTTACATACCCTTGACTTTGATCCTGATCCTGTACTACAGAATTTACCACGCTGCAAAGAGCCTTTACCAAAAGCGGGGTTCAAGCCGCCACCTCAGCAACAGGAGCACAGACAGCCAAAACTCTTTTGCCAGCTGCAAGCTCACACAGACATTCTGCGTCTCGGACTTTTCCACGTCTGACCCGACCACGGAGTTCGATAAAATCAACGCATCCGTGAGGATCCCACCTTTCGAGAATGACTTGGACCTGGCTGGCGACCGGCAGCAGATCTCCACGACGCGGGAACGAAAGGCTGCTCGCATTTTGGGGCTGATTTTAGGTGCTTTCATTTTGTCCTGGTTGCCCTTTTTCATCAAGGAGCTGCTTGTGGGCCTCCACATTTGCACTGTCTCTCCAGAAGTAGCGGACTTCTTGACCTGGCTTGGATATGTCAACTCCCTCATCAACCCTTTGCTGTACACGAGCTTCAACGAGGATTTCAAGCTGGCCTTTAGAAAGCTTATCAGGTGTCGGGAGCATACATAAAAATACTGGGAGTTGATGATGCTGACATGACTCCTAGCCTTAAAATTGAGCAAAATAATTTGACTTTGTCACCATTTCCCTTGATAAAAGGGATTTTTGTGTTTGCCTATTTGCTTGACTTATTGTCAGCCTGTAATTCATTATGCTGTTTTTTTAATCTCTGGTGTTATTCATGGTAAAGGGTTTGAAATAAATTTATTCTACAAAGGAAAAGATTTTTTAGAAATGAAACAACAAAAGAGATATTATTACTATTAGATACTGATGTTTAAGACATTTTTGTAATCAATGATTCAAGAAGCAAACAACGATATTCACTTTTATACTTTTTCCATTTAAGAATCAAACATCTGAATTGTCATGCACTGTATAAACTGTACCCCATAAATACATATTCAAAAATTAATAAACTCTTCATGATCATGACAGCTAAACAACAAATCTTTACTTTAAATGGCATTCTGTAACAGCCACTTAGAAGGAAAATTACCACCATTTCCACTTAGGGCTGTAGCAGAATAAACTATTCCTTTCTTCAGGAATACACTCCCAAAACAGAAAGCAAAGTTCAGTTCGTTGCGTCTGAAAATTAATCTCATTTTTTATTCCAAAGCAATTATTTAGGTGACTGTCTTCATATAATATTCCAGATTTATCTGTAAAGAGTTGGGCAGACACCTCTGCAGTTTGTTTGGGAATTGAGAGGATGCAGCTAGCAAGTGTCACACTTGTGAAACTAATTGCACATCTGACTGGTCACACGTTTAATACCACTAACCTTATTTCTTCAGGCCTTGTATTTTGGCCGGTTCTGGAATGATATTATTCACTTGTGCCACACTTCACCTGGGCCCTGTAGTGAACAACCCCATGTATTGATTGATCTTACCCCACTGACTTAAACAACTGGAAATCTTTTCTAGCTAACATTAATACCTAAAAAGAGGGAAAAATTAATCTCAGTCACTGAAAATGTTTTTTAGTGAGGAAGCACAGAGATCCCGTATGGTTTTTCCTTTTTGCAGCTTGTTGGAGGTGGAAACTGTTGATTGAAACTGGGGAAGTGTGTTCTTATCCTGCCTATCTATAAAGCTTCCAAAGCAGCTCCCCAGAGTACCTATACTGTTAAGGAAAAAAAAGTAGCTGGGAATTAAAATAAAATGTAGTATTGTTAAGAAGTGCTGTAGAATAATTTTATTTTTTCTTTCAGCAAGCTCAATGGAAATGATTATCAAAGAAAAGGATTGGGCATAATTTCCTGAAACAAGGTGAATATGACAGGGAAGACAGGACATACGAGCAGTTGTGGCTAGAAGAGAGTAGGTTTTGGTGTCTCTTGAGTCATTTCCTGCTCTTCTAAAAGGGTGCCTAGCTGCAATAATGATCAGAAAGGGAAGAGTAAATATGCAAGACTGCCCCAGCAGACAGTCTGAGCCACCCCAAGGCACTCAGCTAAGATGAGACAGAAGCTATACCCCAGCCAGCTTCCTTGGGCTGTCACTGGGGCTAAGGTTCAGCTGTGGGGGCTGCACAAGGGTCTTTGACAGAATAAAGGAAGAGGTGGGAGTGGCAATGCTGGTGAAAGGTGTTTCAGAGTGGAAAATCAACAAAATGAGATAAGCTGCCAGCTCTGACTGCTGCTCCTAAGGGCACACAGAATTTAAGTTGGAAGAGATCTCTGGAAGCCAGCTAGTCCAACCCCCCTACTAAAAACAAACCTCCAAGTGGCACCAACCCCACAGCTTGGCACTGCTGCTGCTATGTGGTGTGCAGTCATGTTTCTTGTGGAAAAGTAAGGGCTCATTTAACTCTGCTGCCAAGACTGATGCTCATTTAAAGTGGTAAGTATGGCTGAAGGGCCAGAAATGGTGAACATGACCTCCACAGCAGCTGTCCTAGGTAGGTAGAAGTGCTTCAGCAATATGTACAAAAGTTGTAAAATACAGGTGCTGCATCATCTTCATTTCTTTTGATGTCTTCCTTTTAGTATCTGAACTCCACTATTACCACTCAAACTACCAATCAGGTTGAAGGCTGTATTCAATTTTAATATTTAGAGGTAATTAACAGGAAAAAACAGATGGATGGCTAATTTCCGTGCTTCCCTGTTAAATAAAAACTCACCATTCACTGCCAACTGACTACTGCTTTTCTAATTAAGTCATTAGCTAAACACAGAGCTGTGTTTTCCAACAAATGCCGCTAGACTAATGAAGATACATGTTTTGCCCATGCTCACAATCAAAGTAAAGAACAGTATAGAGGATTGGTTACTTAAAACAGTTTAACTTGATCAGAAGTCACCTATCTTCTTATGAGAATAAAAACTTTTGCTGGTCTGGCACCATTGGTTGACAACATTTTTTTTTCTTATGTTAAGTGTTTGCTGCTTTACAAAAGGTTGGAGACATTTCTTGACTTGTCCATGGCAAGTCCCCTTCATGCTTGTCCTGGATCTGGCCCAGCCACACTATGTTGTGCAATACAAGCTCTTCCCAGCAAGCTCTTAGTGATGTATCCAAGGTCTTCAGACTACATCCATTTTCCACAGCCTCTCTAAACCATCTTGCATCCTCAGAGCCTTATTTTCACTAATGGTCCTCTTGCAAAATTGTCTTTCATTACAGGCCTGACTCCCTCTCCTGCCTTTGTGTTTCTGACTGTTTAATCCCTAAATTTGTTGTGATCCTACTAGAGCAAGCCCCTGTTTTCTCCCCCTATCTCAGCACTGTTATCAGAATTCCCATGATTGTGGCTGTTCAAGTCTGTCAGATTTTACTCTGTCTTATTTGTGTCCAGGCCATATCCTGAAGCTTTTTGCTCTGTGTAAGCAGCCAGTGCTTTGGAGTGAGTTCATACTGGCCTTGAAGACTGCATCCATCAACCAGTTTCCCTCCCCAAAAGACCTACTCTTCAAATGCTATTTTACCTGCTATTTTTATCTTGTCACCTCCCTTCTGTACCCTTTCTTTTTGTTCCCTTTCTTCCATATTAAAATTGACCCTCATATTACTATTTTGTGGATCTGTATCTTCACTTTTAGGCACCTGTACCTGCACAGGTAACTCTATTTGCACTCGTCTCCTGCTCTTTTGCCAGTGCCAACCTCAACTCTCTTCTCTGCAAGCTTTGTCTTGACCACCTCCGTACACTTGCCACACTCTCCTATTCCTTGCAGCTGATTTTTTTTCCTTCTCAAAACCACTTCTGATACAACTCCTGAAAGGAAAACAGTCAACATGAGCAGTAGAGGAATAACTATGCATGTATTGTCTGTCCTTTTTTCTCCATCCTTCCCACGTAGATTACGTCATCTCCCAGGGTGAGCTACGTCTCTCTCTTGGGCACAGCACATCCTAAACACAGCAAAAACATGTTAAGAGCTGTGTATATCCTGAGCCACTTAGATTTGGTTCAGGTACATCCCTTTAGAGCTGTGGGTTCCTCACCACAACGATGTACCTGGCTGTTTACAGCACATGAGATCAATTTCTTTCATCTCCCTGAATGGAGATAGATGATGGGATTGAACTTTCCAAAAGGTTTAAAACAAAGCCCACGTCTCACCAAGTTTACTTAAAAGGTTGTCACTATTCAGACTTCACTGCCATGTACCTGAGCTGTCCAGTTTTCCATAGTTATCACTTCTTACTTCTCTGTCCTTTGGAGGTACAAGGAAGAAACAAGAGCAACAACAACAACAAATTGACTTTATTGAGGAGAATATGTTAAAAGAATAAAGCAATCTTTTCTAAGGGCTCTATTTCCACTTCTCTATTTTCAATCGCAGTTATCAAAGAGTAAAGAGCATTGCAGTGCTGAGGTGAAATACTGGCTTCCAGCTGAAGTGGAGAGATTGTCCTTGTGCCTATATATTGTTTAACCATTGTAAATATCAATAACAGACAAGCTGGTGTGTGTTCATCCTTTACACACACAAATTATTTCTATGAAGAATTATCCTAAATTCTTTTTTTGTTTAAGGAAACACAGTAAATATTGTGATATCTTGTATTGGAAAAGTAGTATTTCATAAGAGTCCCATGCAACACAGTCACCCTTTATAACTGCTACCTGTTTTTCTCTTGAGGCCAAAAATAATAATTTTTTTAAAAATTATCTGAGTCTAGATAAATGCCAGGTTCATGAGCTGTAAAATTATTCTTTAACATTCTCTACGTACATCACATTGCAAGCATAGTTCCCATTCCCTCTTACAGTGCTAGGGGATCTTTACTTCTTCATTAATCCCATGTAGGTGATCACACGTAGATGATGTTACATGATTAAATTACTCCTTCCCACTCAGTTAATTTCTATGCTTCTATGAATCGGGCCTTAAATGTACACTTTTGATGTTGCTGATGTAAGTAGAAGATGTAACCATGAATGAGCTGTGGGAAAAAAACATGATTAGAAAATTATATGAACCTCTTCTCAGAGACCTAAGGGAGAAAGATTCATTTCAACTTTTTTCCTACTTAATCACTTTTCTTTCCTCCTCATTTCACTATTTCCTGGTCCGTGAATCCTGTTCATTAATTTTTCCTCCTGTTTCTTATGTCTCTCTCCTTCCTTCCTTTTGCAGCCCTCCTCAGCATCACAGCAGCATCTAATAACCTATAGCAAGAAGCAAGGCCACCTTTGTGCTGTGTTGGTACACAACCTAAGCATCACTCTGCTCTTGATTTTTGGAAATCAGGTTGCAGGCTCTGTTCCATGGCACTGCTCTACACAGATTCTGCTTCAGTTTTGTTGGTTTTTTTGTAGTTTTCCTGCAAATCAGATTTTTAATGTACATTGAGATTCTTCCAAATGAAAGATGCTGTGTATTAAACCATGATTTCTTCCCACATGTCACAATTTTAGAAGATATCTTTTTAATAATTCCCTCTCCTCTCCCATGGGGCTTCTATCAGTAAAAACTAAAGTCGCAGCTAGCATGATTCCCAGATGCAATAAACAGTGTTGGAAATGCCCCCCTGCACCACTCCACTCCTCCCACCACCCCTCACATTTCACACTCTTCCAGTGGCTTGCACTGCATTCTTAAAATGCATTAGCATATAGATCAGCTTTCTGAAGTTTTCGTGGGTTAATTTCCTGCATGACAAATTTCAAGCCTCATTTCTATCTGGTGCAAGATTCCATGTCATTGAGATACTCAAATCTTCCAAAGTACTACGCCTCCTGTACTTATTTCGTACACCACATGACTGTAAATGGTACATATTTCTATGAGGTGAGGCATAAAGCACTATCTCCCTGCAACTACACCTTATAAAAGATACATGTTTTGTCAATTAGGAAACAAAACATAAATTCTGTGAAGAGGGGGACAGAATTTCTATTCCTTTGTAAACTGTTGTTTTGCACATAATTTTAAATGACTCAGTTTCTGAATATTAATTTTAAAGGAGCACTAAGAAACAAAATATGAAACTTGCACCCCTGCAGCAAGCAGAGTGACCTTCCAGTGGATTTTACAATAAAAAATTGTTTCTCTCCAAAGCTTTCTACAGTGTCCTTTTCAGGTTAATAGAAAGTTATACACAAATGGCTTTCACTTTCGGAATGCCACTAGAAATATTATCCCAGTCCTTTAAAGGAGGAACAGCCTTCCAAGCTGCTAGAGTGCTGGGATAAGCCTCAAGGAGCTTATTTCTTCAATAAATAAAAAATGAGGCCAACACCTCCAGCTTGAGAGGTTTTAAATTGAACTGATCACTAAAATAAAGTCTGTCAGCTAGAATTTTACTTTTATTCATACATATTCCAGTACAGTTCCTTATTCTTTTATTGCTTAGTCTGCATATGAGAAATAAAAAAAATCACTTTTTAAATTCAGAGTAACAAGAAAATACTGTCTTATTTTTGTAATTTCAGAACATTTTTATATGATGACTGGACAGTCATTTTGAAACAGGCAGAAAGAAAAAATTAATCCAATTAGGTCACAGAAGTTAATCTAGGATTGCAAAATTAAGCATGGTTGTCTTGGTCTGATGCTTGCATATACACACAAATCACAGATCAAAATCCTTTAATTTTTCACTGCAGTAGTTTGGCTACTTGCTCAAGAGCAGTTATCTGCGGTTTTAATTAAGATTGGTAGGAGGCTGTACCCTTTCCTACCACGTA